GTGTCCCTGTTTGTACTTTTGGTGTGCATTGCAGAGGCCACATTTGGAGCCCTTTGTTACGGCTTAGGGTTTATTAATAGTAATGAGGCTATTGCTTAGTTGTTAAATAGTGTACTGAGTACTATCTATACTTAAGTCAAGTTCTTTATAAATTTAAAATGACTAAAGTACCTAAAACTAAAAAACACAAAAAACCATCGTCATCACCAAGTTCTCTAAACCTATCATTTACTAATATTCGTGGTCTTCGAAGTAACTTTTCTTCTGTTGAGTCTTATCTCTTGCAAAGTTCACCAGACCTACTTGCTCTTTGTGAGACTAATTTGAGTTCGGCTGTCCCATCTTGTGATCTTAGTGTTGATGGTTATCTTCCTTTAATTCGTAAAGACTCCAATAATCACATGCTTGGCCTGGGTATCTACATTCGTAAGAACTCACTCATTTGTCGTGAAACTAGGTTTGAATCTACAGACTATTCATTTATGTGCTTTCGTTTAGCACAACTTCACTCTATCGTCTTTCTCTTTGTTCTATATCGCTCTCCTTCATCCCAAGATTGCACTATTCTTGATGTTATTTCTGATCAAATTGACCAAGCCCTCTCTCTTTATCCATCGGCCAATATCGTCGTTGTTGGTGACTTTAATGCCCATCACACCGATTGGCTTGGCTCTAGTGTCAGTGACTCTGCTGGCGTTAATGCCCTCAACTTTTGCCTTTCTCAATCTTTAACTCAAATAGTCAACTTTCCAACTCGTTTTCCAGACAACCCTAATCATTTACCTTCTCTACTCGACTTATGTCTTGTTTTGGATCCTAGTCAGTGCTCAATTTCTCCACATTCACCCTTAGGTACTTCTGATCACGGTTTGATCTCTCTAAAACTATTATCAAATTCTTCTACTTCATCAGAATCCCCCTATCATCGTACCACATACAACTACCTTAAAGCTGACTGGGACTCTTTCCGTGATTTTCTTCGTGATGGCCCTTGGGTAGAAATCTTTCGTCTTCCTGCTGACAAATGTGCTTCTTACATAACTTCGTGGATTCAGGCTGGCATGGAATCTTTTATTCCCTCTCGACAATTCCAGGTCAAGCCTCACTCTTCTCCTTGGTTTTCCTCACATTGCGCTGCAGCAATTTCTAATCGAAACCGTTACTTCCATATCTATCAGCAAAACAATTCTCCAGAAAACAGACATCTGTTCACTATCGCCAGAAACCATTGTAAAAAGGTTTTGTCTGACGCCAAAACTCGCTATTCCCAGGTCATTAAATCTCGTATCTCATCACAAAAATTAGGCTCTCGAGACTTCTGGAGAATCTTTAACAGTATCAATAATAAGGGCAAATCTGTTATTCCTTCTCTCTTGTATGGTTCAGACTTTGTCACCTCACCTAAAGACAAAGCTGAATTGTTTGCTAAGAACTTTTCGTCAATATCATCTCTTGATTCCACTAGTTGCGTTTTACCTGACATAGCCGTCAAACAGGTTGATCCCTTGCTTGACATTCGCATCACTTCAGCTTCTGTATCTAAAGTAATTTCCTGCTTAGACTCTTCAACAGCTTGTGGTCTTGACAACATTCCTGTTGTAGTCTTGCAGAGGTGTTCTCCGGAGCTTTCATCCATACTTTCTAAACTATTTAACAAGTGCTTATCAGAGTCTTGTTTTCCATCATGCTGGAAAGCAGCATCTGTTATCCCTATTTTCAAAAATTCCGGAGAGCGATCTGATTCATCTAACTACCGTCCCATTAGTCTTCTTCCTGTCATAAGCAAGGTTTTTGAATCTTTAATCAACAAACACTTAATCTCTCATCTTGAATCAAATAACTTACTTTCTGATCATCAATATGGATTTCGGTCTTCTCGTTCTACAGCTGATGTGCTAACAGTAATAACCGATAGGTTTTACCGTGCATTAGATAGAGGTGGAGAGGTTAAGGCTATCGCACTTGACATTTCTAAAGCTTTTGATAAAGTTTGGCATGCTGGTCTTCTCCATAAGCTTTCTTCTTATGGTGTAGCTGGTAACGTCTTTAAGATTATTGAGTCCTTTCTTTCCAATCGTAGTATAAAAGTTGTCCTCGATGGACAACACTCTTCTTCACATCCTGTAACTTCAGGGGTTCCTCAAGGTTCAATCCTTGGCCCTATACTCTTTTTAATTTACATTAACGATCTTCCAGATATTCTCACATCTAAGGTGGCATTATTCGCTGACGACACTACCATTTACTCTTGTCATGATAATAAGCCTACACTCTCTGATTGCTTGGAGGGGGTATCTGAGCTTGAAAAGGATCTCACTTCTGCTACAGCTTGGGGCTCACAGTGGCTGGTTAACTTTAATTCAGATAAAACTCAATTTTATTCGGCCAATCGTTATCGTAATAATTTAGATCTTCCTATATTTATGAATGGTAATGTACTAGATGAGTCATCTACCATTCATCTTCTAGGATTAACTCTTACTTCTGATCTTTCTTTTAAACCGTATATCAAATCCATTGCAAAATTAGCATCTGCTAAGGTTGCATCTCTTTATCGAGCTCAACACTTTCTTACTCCAGATTCTATTCTCTATCTCTATAAATCTCAAATCCGTCCCTGTATGGAATACTGTTGCCACATCTGGGGCGGATCTTCTAATGATGCTCTTTCTCTTTTAGACAAGGTGCAAAAACGCATTGTAAACATAGTTGGACCTGCTCTGGCAGCCAATCTCCAACCTTTGTCACATCGTCGTAATGTTGCTTCTCTTTCTCTTTTCTACAAATACTATAATGGGCACTGCTCTAAAGAGCTAGCGTCCCTTGTGCCATCTACTAAAATTCATTCTCGTGTTACTCGCCATTCAATTAAGTCTCATCCTTTTTCTGTGACTGTTCCTAAGTGCTTCAAAAACTCTTATTCTTCTAGTTTTTTTCCTCGAACATCAGTTCTTTGGAATTCGCTTCCTTCATCTTGCTTTCCTGATTCATATAATTTGCAATCTTTTAAGTCATCAGTCAATCGTTATCTTGCTCTACAGATTTAGTCTTTTCTCTTCCAGTAACTTCCAACTCTTATAGTGGTTGCTTGCAGCCTTGTTGGAAGTGAAGATGTTAAAAAAAAAAAAAAAAAAAACTAAGTTCCGTGTGTACATATTAACAGGATAATGGTGAAATGAGACGAGTCAAATAAGAAAAATTTACTTAAAAAATTATCCTGTTGATTGAGCATAATTATGTACAATCTAATGTTTATTTAATTAACAGTTTAGTTAAAATCTAATAAATTTTAGAACAATTTTAAATTATTCAAGCAAAGAAAATCTTTTATTTGAGGTGGTTTGAAGATATCTCTGAAAATTTGATGAAAATCCAAGAACTCAAATATTTAAGTTGTAATTTTCGCTCATTCTATAAAAAACGACTCTTAGCCTGTTTTAGCTAAAGGATATGTTTAGAAAGGAATAAATCTTTACTTATTCTTTTCTAAACTAACCCTTTAGCTAAGGATAAGTTTAGGTTTGACGAAGTTCATTTCTACTTACAAATGTACCAAATGCTTTCAATTCTTTATTTCGCAAAAGGTTATAAACTTTTTCTTTATAATTACAGATTTGTTAAACTTTTCGCTTATATTTAGCGTCTATCATTCTTAAAAAAACTATTTGAATATATTTTTTAGAGGTAGGGATGTAATAGTACACTTTATGTTTATAAAGTGAAGTATTTGCATCTCATTACAAAACTTTGCAATTGGAAATTTGTGTGTTTTCTCTTCTTGGGAAAATTATAGCTTGTAGAGTCATGACCTATAAATTTTAATATTTAGGTTTCAAGAAATTATCGGAGTCTTGATTTACCGTTTCCTTCTTATTTTTATGGTAAGTATAATCCTAAAAGTTTCTTATTTGCCGGTAAATACAAACTTTAGGGTGGAATGCAAGAAGCGAATTTGAGTCAAGCTCGACTTGAACTTTACAATGCTACTAATTACGACAGAGTATGGGTTTTCCCCTCAAAAAATACTCTGCCGCTATTGGTTACAAAGTAAAGTTCAAGTCGAACTTGACTCAAGTTTTCTTCTTGCATTCCACCCTTAAAGTCCTAATTTTCAAACTCTTATTTTACCGCCGCACTTCATTGGAACATTTCATTGTTTTTAGTGTGCTTCCTTTACAGCCTAGACTTGGATGAAGAAAAAATGAAGTGGGTTACGAGACATAAAATAATATATGTATTGTGGATAGAAAAATATCTTATCAATAGGTACTTTAAATGGGAATTTTTTCGTTTCTGCGCCGTAAAATCTTTAATAAAATGTATAAAAAATGTTTTGCGTGCCTGTTGTCGTACGCATTTAAGATTTGCGTTTAAGACTAAAATAACTTGTTTTAAAAACATTTTAAGCTACTCTTAATACGTATCTAATACACATTATACATAAATTAATTATAAATAAAAAACTATCGATGTTACTTAAAAACGAATGTGGTTTTTGAATTAAATAGCAAATATATGAAAAATCTTAGTAGGCAAGACTTTAGTGACTAAGTGTCTTGCCCACTAAGATTAAAAAAAAAAGAAGACTTTTAAGCACGTAAAATTATTAGAAGATGATTAGTCCGAATACGACCGTCAGCGAGAACCGGTTGTCATGTTGAGTCTCTAATAAAGCGAAATTATATAAAAATTTCAAAAATAATTATTATTTAAAAACATAAAAAAAAAAAAAAAAAAAAAAAAAATTAACAAAGAGTGCACCTTTTTTATTATTAGTTAATAAATGTATTTTTTTGTAATCTCAAATAAGAAATGTATGATTGAAGTAAAATACTTTTGTAATGTTAATTTCAAAAGTATTGTACTTAAACCATATATTTCTAATAATATAATTTTGTTAGTACATTTGAAAAATAGCGAAAAATGTTAGTAGTACATATGTGGTTTTTATTCATTATATTAAATTTATAATACATATATAAAAAACTTAAAAACATGATAAAATTTAATTTAATCTTTCCTTTATTTTCAGGGTAAATATAATGAATTATACTTCAGATTTTGAAGATAATTCTGGAGGATCTACAAAAAGAAAAAGGTAAGATAAATGTAAATTACTCCAACGTTTATAAGTATGCGTACAGAGACTTGAGTATATATATATATATATATATATATATATATATATATATATATATATATATATATATATATATATATATATATATATATATATATATATATATATATATATATATATATATATATATATATATATATATATATATATATATATATATATATATATATATATATATATATATATATATATATATATATATATATATATATATATATATATATATATATATATATATATATGTATATGTATATATATATATATATATATATATATATATATATATATATATATATTTATATATATATATGTATATATATATATATATATATATATATATATATATATATATATATATATATATACATATATATATATATAAATATATATATATATATATGTATATATATATATACATCGAAAATAATTATTTAAAGGTGATCATTGATCATACTAATCGGCTGAAATGATAAGATTTGAAAGGTAGAGGATTAAATAAATTTCCTGATGATCAAGTTTTCTGTAACTTTTTATAAGCATTACTGTTTATGTAACACATAAATAACACTTTTTGTGTTAGTCAGCTTAAAGCACCTCAGCGTAGTTTAACTATGCTGGTTTCCGATTTAAGTTTTACTAATTTGCTATTAGGGCAAATTAGTAAAACTTAAATCGGAAATTTTAGCAAAATCCTAAACTTTGACAATGTATAACTAAGGTTGAGATAAAATACATGAAAAGGTATTTTTTAATACAGCTACTTCTGTTTGTGTTGAAAGAAAAAAATATGTATATATCTTTTTTGCTTAAACAGAATTTTAGATTTTTATTAAGTCTATATTTGAAATTCTTTAGGATTTCGTTCTGTCGCTTCAAATTGTTAAAAAATTATAAAGAAAATTTAAAAATTCATTAATTTAAAAATGATTATAGATCAAGAGAGTAAGAACTGTTATAAAATGTCTAATCCAAATTTTTTCTTCAAAACATGTTCTTTTTTCATTAATAATATTAATGTTCTTCACCTATCAAGTTAAAGTACTAATAAAAAGGATAAGTTGGTAGTTGCTACTCTTTTCCTTCTATTTTATTCAAGGAATACAATAGAAAATTCATCTATAATGAATTTTCTAATGTTTAAATGCAATAATTTAAATAATTCCAGCAGTAAGCAAAGTCATAATATAAAAGAATACAAGAATTTCACAGATCTGGAAATTATAGCTATAGTTAAGATTCTAAATTATATAGGAATTAGTGCCGTGGCTAAAGAGTCATTGCCCCCCTTTCTTTACCAAAAATCTGTCATTAGTGGCCTGTCTTTATTTTAGTTTTAATATGTTTGATTTGCAATTTTTGCCGTTCAAGCAAATTTGATCGGACAAAATTTATTTGGGGAGATCTAAATATCATTTTTTCTAAAAGGAGACGATCTTTATTTTTGCTTTATTTTTTAAATGTTAAATGTTTTAAATGTTTAAAGGTCACTATCATTATGTCAAAATCTGGAGCACAAAAGCGCAAAGAAAAAGAGAACAGACAGAGAAGTTTCTGCAAAAAAGTGCAAGTTAATCACATCATTTTTGTCAATACAACCACAATGTCAAGGCAATATTGAGTCGAATGTACAAATTATATCAGAGATAATTAAAGCACGAGGTGGTAAAGATCTTGAGTCAAATTTAAAGAGTACATCAGGAATTATACAAGCAAATACAAGATATTGAGTCGAATTTGAAGAGTACATCAGCAATAATACTAGCGCGAGGTGGTGGAGATATTGAATCACATTCGCTGAGTACATCTGCAATAATACAAGCACTAGGTAGTCAAGATCTTTAGTCAAATTTACAGAATACATCTGCAATAATACCAGCACGAGATGGTGGAGATATTGAGTTGAATTCACAGAGTACATCAGCAATAATACAAGCACTAGGTAGCCGAGATCTTGAGTCAAATTTACAGAGTACATCAGGAGTTGTACAAGCAAAAGGTAGTTGAGTCGAATTTGAAGAGTACATCAGCAATAATACAAGCTCGAGGTGGTGGAGATATTGAGTCGAATTCGCAGAGTACATCAGCATTTGAATATCCACCACGTTTGCAGTTAAAATGTTTTTTTTAGCAAACATCCAATTCAACCACATGAACATTTGCCGTTTGATAACAAGATCTACCATAGACAAACGGACTTGAAGGATAGCATACCAAGAAATTGGTTGTCATTTAGCCAAAATTCTCAGTCTCTATATTGCTCATTTTGTGTTGCATTTGAATCACCACAGTCTAACACCGTTTCATCATTTGTGTCTGGCTTCAAAGATTTTAGACAAGTTAGCCAACGGGTTGCAGAACACGAATCAAGCAGCACTCACCGCAGGCATGTTCTTGATTACATTCGTATAATGAATAATCAAGACTTTGACAGATTTTATAGTACAGCAATAAAGAAATATAATGATGAAGTACTGATACAGAAACAAATACTTTCTCGAGTTATTGATATCATTAAACATTTATGTAAGCAAACATTGCCATATCGAGGTCATAGGAATGAAGGTGCTTATTCAATGGACAATGATGAAGAAAATCATGGAAATTTTTTGGCTTTGGTACAGCTCTTGGCCAAATATGACCCACTTTTAGCTTCTCATCTCTCCATGTGTCAAGAGAAATCAACCAAAAGAATAGAAAAACTGAAGCGTCAAGGTAAAGCCGGCAGTAAAGGTCGCGGTGCTCTGGTTACGTTTTTAAGTAAGACTACTATATCAAAGCTTCTTAATATTATGAAAAATATGATGCAGGAACAGATTGCAATGGAAGTATCCAAAGCAAAAGTGTACTCCGTACAAGTTGATTCTACACAAGATATATCTGCAATTGACCAATTCAGCATTGTGGTTCGCTATGTTTTAAATGCTACTGTGCATGAACGGCTGCTTTCTATTGTACCAAGCAATGGCGGTACTGGCCAAGGCTTGTTCGATCTCTTAAATTTGACGCTACAGCGGCTTGGCTTTAACTTGAAATACTGCCTATCGAACAGCACTGATGGTGCTTCAAGTTATTATGGCCAGTACAATGGACTGCAACAAAAGATTACAGAAGCTGCAGACCACCATGTACATATTTGGTGTTATGCTCATGTTCTCAACTTAGTTGTGAAGGAGGCAACCAGTTGCTGCATTCAGGCAGTTTCATTTTTTACCCTTTTGCAAAATGTTTCAACATTCATAAAAGTGTCATATAAGCGAATGGCAACATGGATTAAACTTGTTGAAACACAAATTGGAATGGATAAGATGAAAAGATTGAAATTGATCGGTGAAACAAGGAGGTCGGGTAAATCAAATGCTGCAACAGCGATATTTGGAACATTTGCTGAGCCATCTTTAACAGTGTTTGTCAATTTAATTTTATGTCTGTCATGTATAAGCGAATCAGAAAATTTTGATACAAAGACACGTCATGAAGCTAAGACATTGCTCATGCCATTCCTGAAATTTGACACCATTTTGACTGTCTTTACCTACCTGCGAGTTTTTGAAAAAGTGGGACCAATATACCTGTCAATATACCTTTCAATATACCTGCAAACTCGTGGATTAAATGTGTTGGTTGCATTCAAGATGGTGGAGAAGGCCGTAATTGAATTGAAAAGTCAATCAAGACTTTTTGATGATGTTCATAATAATGCTCTTCAATTTGTACGGATGGCAAATGCAAGCATCATTCAGAGAACTGAAACCATATTAGAGGTAAAGATAGAACTACCAGCTAAACGGAAGCGGAAGACACCAACGATGTTAGATGAACATACAGTAGACGAACGTGACGAATCTAAAGCTTTGGAACACTACGAAATTCACACTTACAATGTGGTGATGGATCAGGTAGTCCAAAGTCTTGAGTCACGTTTCACTTCACATCGACAATTATATATGGACATGGCATGTTTTAATAGATCAAACTTTGGTGATCTTGCCATTTCAGGAATTCCTGAAAACAGTTTACACAGCATTATCAAATTTTTACCAGATGCCGACGTTGATAAAATAAAGGCCGAATTGTTATCATTTGTCACTAACTATGAGATTTTGAAATTGTCCTTGCCCTTAACAACAACATTAAGATAGAATGCATATCAAAAGGATGACATAGAAGAACCGCTCTGTTATCAGCATACAAATGGAGCATGCGGATCGTGTCCATCTTGTGTGTTACAAATTCTTGCTGCATATAGACTCAACGACAAAACCTATGACAATTTGTATCATTTTTATAAAATAATATGTACTATTTCTGTAACACAAGCCGAATGTGAAAGATTGTTTTCTAAGTTAAAGTTAATCAAGACAAGATTGCGTAATTCTATGTCAAATGACCACTTAGAGTCGTATATGTTGATGTCTGTAGAAAAAAATCTACTTGATAGCCTTGAGTATGATACGATCATTCAAAGATATGCATCTTCGTCCTCTAAATTGAGCAAGCTGTTTAAAGAATAGTTATTGCTATACTTTGCACTGTGCAAATTGCACATCACTTTAATTATTTTCATGGCCGGTAATATATATACAGCCAGTCCGCCACTGTATATATATATATATATATATATATATATATATATATATATATATATATATATATATATATATATATATATATATATATATATATATATATATATATATATATATATATATATATGCATATATATATATATATATATATATATATATATATATATTAGTAGAAAATCACTTAGCAAAATTTTTTCTCATTTAACACTGTGTTTCATAAATAAAGACTCATCAGAAATGTATTTCTGATGAGTCTTTATTGATGAAACAGTGTTAAATAAGAAAAAATTTTGCTAAGTGATTTTCTACTAATTTGTAATTGCTCTGTTCTTTTAAGAACATTGAGCACTCTTTTTGTAGAATACATTTTAAATTGTTTAAATATATATATATATATATATATATATATATATATATATATATATATATATATATATATATATATATATATATATATATATATTATATTATATCAAATCACCTAAAGGGTCCCAGGGTATCACCTCAGAATTGCTTTAAATTTTGACCATACACAGATTTTGTGAAAAAAATACAATCCAGAAAATTTTAGCTTGATTGACCAATTTGTTCAAAAGTTATGATTGATTTAAAAATGACTAAAATCCGAAAAATTTGTAAATCAGGAGCTTACAGCAGTTTTTTTCAATTTTTGACAAACCATAACTTTTTAAATAAAGATGGTGATCACCTGAAATTTTGTAGGGTAATAGTTTTTCACCCAAATAATCCATTATTGCAGTTGTTTTTGACTGATTTTTTACAGTTTTTGAGTTATTGTACCTTAAAAATGCTAAATATTGCAACATAAATATTTTTTCGAACTTTAACGTGTTACAGTTTCATACTTACTTACAGAAAGTGGACAATCTATATTACAAACACATACTTTCATTAAATCTTTGTAATATATTAAATGGCTGTTAGGAAGAGCAGAGCACATCAACTTAGCATTTTGATGGTAAGAACATACACAAACTGAGTGGCTTTCACTACTATCAACAGTTAGGCACCACTTTGGCCTTAGTTCACAGAACTTGCTGAATCCAACTTTGTGTTTAGGGTATAACTTCTTAAACTCTAGATGAAGTTCTTTTAAACAAACTAATATTAAGCGTTTTTGTTTATGAACTTTAACATTATTTATACGCACAGAAACAAAGTCTTTTTTTCCTGGACATTGTCTAGTGTATTCGTCAGATTCATATATTTCAATGACTCTCTGCTAAACAATATCTTCCAAAGGATGTCCTTTTTTAGCCTCAGGTTTAGCAAGTATTCCCTTTTCATTTTTTAGCTTTCTGGCTTTCTTAACAAGATGGTCTGAAACTGAAAATGCATTGCAAGTTTTTTTAATTGACCAACTATCAGGAGTTAATGTTAGTAATTGAACTTTTTCTTCATTCGAACTGATTTTTCCTTTTTCCTTTATTGCATCTAAAAGTTTGTTTAAATCATTACAGTTAATGCACTTTTGCTTTTTCTCAGATATTATTTCTTTTGGGTCTATATCCAATGCTGATGCTACTAGATTTGTCATACTTGTTTCCAGTTTTTTTAACTTTTTGCTTTCCATATTCTAATTTGTCACGTTTACTTACATTTTTTAGAGGAGATATTTCCAGTAGAGAAGCACTCTTATTTAAAACTGTCTTATTTAGGTCTGAAGAACTAAACTCCTCATCATCAACATCTTTGTCTTCATCTTCTTGACTATATTTTCCTGTTATTTGTTCAAGTTTGAATTCATTCAAACAGTTAGTGCAAAGTTTTTGACCAAGTTTGATCTTAAGTTGACTTGCTGTTAAATTATCAACTTTACACAATCCCTTAATAATTTTTTTCTTGTGGACTTTAAACGGATCACAGCAGTATTTTTGAAGCGCTTCATATCTAGAAATATTGGCTTTTTCATGGTGAAAACATATCTCCTCATTTAGTTCAAAAGTGAGTTCAATTCTTTGAATTAAAACTTCAGTGTCTGTGCTTGCAATATCTTTTAGTTTTATTCTTCCAATCATTCTACAATAATACATTTTGTCACAATCTTCATTTAAAACTTTCCCCACACAACATTTCTCTGTCATTTTTTATTTTTTATCATCTTTTTATTTTTATTTTTTATCATCTTTTTATTTTTATTACTAATCTAAAAAGTTTAAAAAAGACATAAATATATTAAATCTCAAAGAAACTAACAAATATCAGACACTGATTATGACACTGATTATGTCATTATTATTAGTACAAATTAAGACATGTCATTGAAAAGAAAACTGAATATATTCATTCACAGATAAAAAAAATATATATATACTACTGTCATCCCTATGACTAATTATTAGACTATGACCTAAGGTTAGCTCATAGTCTAATAACATTCTCCTTTTAAAAATATTATCACTCTCAAAAGGCTACAATCATGTCATAAGATAGAGTATAGGTCTTTAAATTTTTTTTGGTGATTGTCTATATATAGAACCTCAACATTAAAAACTTTCATAATTTGTTTCAACTGTTTACGCTACTTTCTATGCCAACAAAGTCAATGTAATTTATCATAATTTTTGAAAAAATGTGATTTTTCAATAGGCTGCTGCATGTGCTAAATTAATTTTTAATGCATAATTTTGATTATTCTAACAAGTGGTGACCCTAAGTACAAAAAGGTAACAAAAAAATCCACTTTCTGTAATTAAGTATGAAACTGTAACACATTAAAGTTCGAAAAAATATTTATAATGTTGCAATACTTAGCAACTTTAAGGTACAATAACTCAAAAACTGTAAAAAATCAGTCAAAAATAACTGCAATAATGGATTATTTGGATGAAACTATTATCCTACAAAATTTCAGGTGATCACTATCTTTATTTAAAAAGTCATGGTTTGTCAAAAATCGAAAAATGGTTTAAAAAGTTATGGTTTGTCAAAAATCAAAAAATTTGTGTATCAGCTGTAAGCTCCTGATACACAAATTTTTCGGATTTTGGTCATTTTTAATTCAATCATAACTTTTGAACAAATTGGTCAATCAAGCTGAAATTTTCTGGATTGTATTTTTTTCATAAGATCTGTGTGTGGTCAAAGTTTTTAAGCAAATCTGAGATGGTACCCTGGGGAACTTTCAAAAAACTAGGTGATTTGATATGGAATAACCCATATATATATATTAGGGTGCATCAAACGTCCTATACTTTCAAAAATTGATCTGTTCCTATTCTTAAAACTTTCTATTGGTTCTCACAAGACACTCTGTTCAATTATTTCAAAATTGAATGAGATTTAGGGGGGCCACCTCAAGTCTGAAACTTGCAATGAGACCCTAAACAGAAGAAAAAAATGTTTTTCAAATGTATGTCATGTTGGGTTTCAAAAGAAGCGAAATTTTATAAAATAATAAAAAAATAAAAATTTTAAATAAGAATTATTATTCTAAATTTTATTGCATAAAAATTTTTTAACAAAAAATTAAAAAAAAAGCCATTTTTTCATGGTTTTTGGTCAAAGTTTTTTTTCAAGGTATTTTTACAAAAAGTGCTAACTATTTTTAAAATTTTTATAAAGTTTTGCTTCTTTTGAGACCCAACATGACATATATTTTTTGAGACCCAACATGACATACATTTGGAAAACTTTTTTTCTTCTGTTTAGGGTCTTGTAGCAAGTTTCAGAATTGAGGTGGTCACCTTAAGTCTGAAACTTGGCCACGTGGCCCCTCATTCAATTTTTTAAAAATTTAACAGTGTCTTGTGAGAACCAATAGAAAGTTTTAAAAATAGGGACAGATCAATTTTTGAAAGTATGAGGCGTTTGATGCACCTTAATATATATATATATATATATATATATATATATATATATATATATATATATATATATATATATATATATATATATATATATATATTAGGCTGATAAATTAATTGATAGGGTTATTTAGTAAGGGCATTTATAATTAATTTCAATATTTATAATATATAAATTTTTATAATAAATCAGAGTTTTGAAACTTTAAACAATAATCAAAACAACTTTATTTAGCTCTTGGAAACATGACGATATAGCAAAAAAGTGCAAAACAACAGGAAGTACTCATTCTTCTCAGCTACCCTCAAGATCAAGTTACATGGATTCCTATGAAAAGTAAATTTTGTTTTTGCTTTTACTAAGTACATGGCATAAACGTTTTTTTCTGCTCATTTATTTTATTTTTATTATTTAAAATATCGTTGATTGAAGTTCATTATATAATTTTGTTTGTAGATTTTCTTTACTTTTTAACACATAAGTATTAGTCTACCATCACATATAATCTTGCTTTAAGTAAGTTAACTTAAATTTATACTAATAATTTTATTTAAAATATTTATAAAATATAATTAAAGAGCCGTTTTCATTTGATTGAAAATATAATTAATTAGAAATTAATTATATTTTCATTTTAAATTAATTAATAATTAGTTAAATATTTGTTTGATATTTTCAATTCTCTTTACAACCTAACTGAACTGCATTTTAAATACCATGACTCTACTTTTGAAAACAAATCTCTTTAGTGTTTTGTGTACTGCATTTTATAGCGAATATTATAAAGATAAGTTTCATATTGTCTGATTAGGAGTCAGGCAATATGAAATTTACATGCTGCATCTTCGCAACTATCTTATTGACGTAAGGTTATAAGTAAAGTATGGATTTTACAATCTTATTTCTGGTTGTAGATATATCATAATGGGGTTGTGCATTTGGTACATGCAATCACATTGTCAATTATTGATACACATTTTACTTATGAAAATAGTAAATTACATTTAAGCACACTATATTTGTTATGCTAAAACTATTTAAAGTATTTTTGTTTTTTGATATTCTTTACATATATTTGTTATTATTATTTTTTTAATGTTATTTACCTTCCCAAGGCCAAAAGGGCCACTACAGGCAAGGAGGAGAAACTACTTTTTGTGGTTATAACCCTCTCTTAACTTTTTAACTCTAAAACGCAATCCTTGGCAAACAAGGCTGCTGTGTAGAGAAACAAGTTAAAAAAAAAAATTTGAAAAGCATATTATTGTAATTAATTACAATGAAAATTAATATATATATATATATTTTTTTTTTTTTTGCTACAAAACTGATTTTTAAATTTTTATATTTTTTCTTTTGTTTTTTTTTACTTTATAAAAGAGTTAAAGAAAAATTATAATTTTTGCTTTTAACTTATCATGAACTTTAAATTCATTTTTGTTTAATATATGTTTAATTTAAATTTACTGATTTTGTCCTTTTACTTTCAACAATTTTTATTTATTTTATTAATTTAACGTTTCAAATGGTTTTTTTTTTAAATATTTAAAAAAAAGTTTTTAAAGATTTGAACCAACAAATTCAAAGATTTAAATCAATCAAAATGATGTAAAAGCCACTTAAATATTTAGTCTGATATTTGATCATTAGGTCTAGTCTTACATTGACTTTTTCAGATCGAAAACCTACACATTGAGTTATCCACTTCTTTTTTTTTATCAAAGAATACGCAACAAGACTAAAAAGAAATTATAAGTTTAAAAATAAATTAAAATTTATTTTTACTTCTAATATTATCTTTTCATTGTTCATCTTTGATCTTAAATTCGTTTGTTAAATTTTCATTTGAACATTGTGAAAATCATTAAACTTTCTTAAAAGTAAAAAAAAATTGCTAATATTGAAATCAAAATTAGATATGTGATTTTTCTAAATCTAAAATTATTTTATAGAACAGTTTAATTGTATTTCAGTTGTTACTTTTCCAACAAGTGGACACTCTGATATAGTAATCCTTGATTCGAGTAAAACTAAACTAGGTGAATGTTAGTAGTGAAATTCAAAAATTAATGTACTTAAATAAAATCTGGAGTTATCTATGTTATATCTGGGGTTCTATAATTATAAGGTGAAGTGATAATAAATTTTCATATATTTTAAAAATTATCCAAAAGTAATTTTATTTTTGTTTAAGTTATTTAATTTTTTTTTCTAGAGAAGAAAGAAAAGCTCACATTGAACAATTTCTTTCAATGAGTGCTGTATCCTTTAAAATTTTTGATTTTTTAAATGTCAATTTATTTTTTAATTACTTAATCTAATTGATTATCAAAGCTTAACTTGACATAGTATGCCAGACATAAGAAGCTTGTTCATGACTATCTTGCTTATTATGGAGGGAAGATGGAGGACTTTGAAAGATCAAGGTATAATGTTTGTATGTTTGTAGATATCTAAAAAATAATAAATTCATTTAAAATAAACTTAAATATTATTAAACAATAATTTGTGTTTTCATCTAGTTTCTAATTTTAGTGTTAACGATAAAACAGATTATGATGTCATTAAGGAGAATCATAAGTGAGTTTATTCAGCAAGTGAATTTAATTTGTATTTTTGTAAGTGTTTTTTTTTTGTTTGTTAGTTCTCAAGGCTGAGAAAGCCACTACAGACGAGGAGGCTACTTAATTGTGGTTATGACTCTCTCTCAACTCTATAACTCTGAAACACGAACCTTTAAAAACAAGGTTGCTGTGCAGAGAAACAAATTGAGCACGGTACCAAGAAGGTGGCGGCAGGGTTGCATGGTTTTAACCAAATGGTTTAAACCATTGGTTTAAACCATGGTTTAAACTATTTGGTTTAAACCATGGTTTAAACCATTTGGTTTAAACCATGGTTTAAACCAATTAAAAAAATGTTGGTTTAAACTAAACTAATGTTTTTTTAAAAAGATTGAAACTTACAACAGGAAACTAAGATTATGTTCACAAATATAACTAATCTTCAATATAGATATATTTTTTTAAATCCATGAATTTTGTTTTTGTTTTTTCTTTAAAATTTATCAATATGCTTAATTCAGGATACACTCTACCTAATAGAACTCAAGTTGGAGGAGAAATATTAGATAGGGTTTACACAGAAAAAATTGAAAAATGTAATGTATTGAATGGGAAAATTGTAGCCATGTCTTTAGATGGCTGGAGTAATGTACATAATGAACCTATAGTTTGTATCTCTGTAGTTACAGATAAAATTAACATTTAGAAACAATCAACACTTCTGGTCATTCACATACTGGTAAATATCTTACATAATTAGCAAGAGAAGCAATAGATTTTGTAAGACGTAAATTTGAATGCACAGTAAAAAGCTTTGTGACTGACAATGCAGCTAATATGAAATCAATAAGACAAGTATTGTCATCTGGAAGAGATATTATCATAACTTATGGGTGTGCTGCTAATATGTTGAATCTTTCAGCAAATGATCTTAACATTGAAAATGTGAGCAAGCATGTTACACAAATAATAAAATATATAAGAAATAATCATCAAGCTAGACAATTTATAAATTAAGGGGAGCAACAAACTTGTCACTTCCTACTGAAAATCGCTGGAATTCTGTATGTGATTCACTTGAAAAATATGTCAACAACTGGAGCATTATTTTCACAATGTTTGAAAAAAATAAAGACTTGGATCCCATGATTGGTAAAAAAGTAAGTGATATACAGATAAAGCGAAACACAGAAGATTTATTGAAAATATTGAAACCAATTGCAGTAGCTCTAGAGAAGTTGCAAAGTGATCAAACAAAAATAAGTGACACTTGAAATTTTTAAAGATTTGATGAACAGTTTATCATTTTTATCAAACGAAAAAAAATAAATAATTGAATCTAGATACCTTCAGACTGCCAGTGATGTTCATTTCCTGGCAAACACACTAGATCCTAGATATTTTGGATCTAATCTTTCTGAAAATGAAAATGAAGCTGCCATGAATTCCGCAGATAAAGAGTTCAAGAGTTTGTTACCAATATTATTCAAATTAAAATCCAAATCTACTATAGCATAATAGATATTGAAAGTTTATTAAATGCACCAGCTTCTAGTGCTGGAATCAAAAGATTTTTTTAACTTTTGGTCTTGTTCATTCTAAGTTAAGAAACCAATTGGGGGTAGAAAAAGCAGCAAAGCTTGTATTTACATATATAGAACATTAAACAATGATATATTGAATAATTATGATGAAATATAACAATAATATTGATAAAGAATATAGTTTACTCAAATAAAATACGTTTTGCTTTTTTTAATTTAAAAAGATAACTAAATACCACATTTTTTAGTAAAAACCTAATTTAAACCAAAAAAGCCATGGTTTTTTTGATTTTTAAAAAAAACCTATGGTTTTTGGTTTTTTTTTAAAAAAAAATGGTTTTTTTGCAACCCTGGGTGGCGGGGATCATACTCGGAACCTCTCGCTTATAAAGCAAGCGCTCTACCACTACTGCATGACCGTATTATATACCACTATCGCATACAGTTTTGCTCATTAACTTTTTTTTATTGACAGCTTAATTTGCAGATAATTGTATTTTATCCGCAAATGAAATTATCATATAATTAATGTTTTTACATTAAGTTTTAATCATAAATAAATTGATATTAATTGTTTTATTTTTGTTTTAAAGGTTTATTTGGGATGATCATGACGATAGTGAAGAATCTTGGTATGTTGTTATTGAAATAATTATTGAAATTATTGTTGTTTATTATTGAAATAATTGTTATTGAAATAATTATTAAAAACATGTAGTTATTATTTTGTACTGCATGGGTACTCAAATTATGTTTTATAAATTATGTTAGGGGTACTTGACTAGAGAACACAATGTGTTATAAACATTCTTATTTTTATAGCTTCATGATATCTGATTTGTTTAAAAAATTTATTGGAAACAGAAAACTATCAAGTAATTAGTGGCTGCTGCAAAAATTATATTTTAGAAGCTCCTGTGCCACAAAAACAACATACTTTGAAAAAGTGAAAAGAAAAAAGCCAATGGGGATATCAGGGTTCCAGTGGCTTTTTTCTTTCAAATTGCAGCAGCTGCCAAACTGGAGGCAGAATTTTTATCTTTCAAATTATATTTTCAAATGTAATTTGAAAGATAAAAATTTCACAAATTACATTTCAAAATGTCTAATTTTTTTTTTAATTATCAAGCAGTTTAAACAAATAATTAGAAGCAAGTATTGAAAATTTGATATTTTATATGATTTATAGTCAAGTTTTGACAACTGCAAAAAAATAAAAAAATATTTTGAGGTTGTTTTTTTTATGTATTGAAAGTTTCACATTGAAAACAAAAAAAAAAATTAATTTATGTGCTATAAGAAAAAAAAAAATTATATAACATGGGGAAAAAAATTGTCAGTTTTTGATGGGAAATGTATAATTTTGAACAAGTAGCTCATGTATCATATATGGTAATTCCATAACAATTCAGCAGGTTCATGTCACCCCATATTTTGGAATTTGCTAATTTTTTATATGTTAAAGGACATGAAAACTAGGAAAATCTGAAATTTGGAACTTCCCGCTTCTTATGGGTCTTGAGATATTCAGAATTAAATTTTCTTTTTTTATGCTGAATGAAGTATTATCCTGAAATTTGGTACATAGACAATCTTCCACATGTAGGATACAAATATCAAAATTTTTTAGACCACCTTAAGTACATGTAAATTGGATAATAAAAGCATATATTTTGGGGTATTTTGACTGTCAAAATGTCAACATACCAAACATCACTAATAATGAAAAATATATTGTTTTCCACAATCAAAAAAAAAAACAGCTCTCCATAATAATCCATGTTTTTCATTACTTGAAAATGTCACTTAAATAGGTCTAAAAGACTTTGTCTTTTTGTTAAACCTTGCTTGTGGCAGTCAACATTACATTCTAATCCAAAATTTAAACTTTGAAATTTACTCAGAAAATCGTATTTATAAAATAAATTTGTTTTAGAAATAACATTCACATGATTTATTTTACGGAAAATTATTTATACATTTCATTTGTTTGGATGTGTCATATTGTATAATTGATATGTTATATTATATACATGATTGAAAGGTAATTAAATTTTATTATATTTACCAATCACATGATAATCATATAACATTCATTAATTACTTACATAAATATAAAATTCCTGCAGAGTAACAGGAAATTAATATTTACAACATAAAATCTAAACAAATGCAAAAAAATAATAATAAGGAAATATTAGGTTTTATTTATAAAAGGCAAAAAAATGTTGCTGCATTTGGATTACAGCCAAGTTTTTATACTTAAACAAATGTTTTTCCTTTACAAAAAAATTAACTTTAAGAAATAAATGTATTATTTCTAATTATTGCTCTGAGGCCTCCGAAAAGTTTTTTAGAAAAATTTTTAACAAAACAAAACATTTATTTGTTTAACAAAATTAAGACAATATTAATTTTTTTTGTAGGGTAAGGTAGTGGGTAAAGTGTCTAATTGCATTCCCAACAACCCCTCCTCTCTCACACCCACCTTGAGCCTACCCCAGGCACAAAAAAATAAAAAAATAAAGTACAAATTTATCATTGCCCTCAAAAAGACTTTAAAATTTTTTTACAACCTAAAATTACTTAAAGTTATGCCTCAAAAAAAATTATCAAGGTGATATCATCATTTTGTCAAAATACTCCTAAATATATGCCTTTATTATTCAATTTACATTGTACTTGGTCAATTCAAACTAAAAAAAGTTTAATTTGATATTTGTATCTATCATGTGGAAAATTATTTATGTACCAAATTTCAAGATGATACCTCATTCCTTCATAAAATATGCTATTTAACAACAAAAATGCTAAAAAATGCTATTTAACAACAAAAAAGCATTTTGTAAAAGTCAGCATAAAAAAAAAAATAATTGAATCCTGAATATTTCAAAAACTGCAAGGAGTTGGGGGTTCCTAATTTCAGATTTTCCTAGTTTCAAGGTTTAATTCTGCTACACCTGTTTGTATAACAAAAAAGTTTTCAGAATATATGTTAAATAATAATTTTTTATTTAGGTTATATTGAATTTAGGTTTAAGTAAATTTATCAATCAATATTTGTTTTCTTTTAGGGGGAAAAAGTTGGCAAAAAAATATTATGACAAGTTATACAAAGAATATTGTATCTGTGATCTCAGCCAGTATAAACATAATAAAGTAATTTTATTTTCCTTTTTTTTAATGCTTTAGCTATTTTAATTGAAAAATCAATGTAAATGAAAAGGTTGGTTATCCATATATATATCCAAGATGTTGGTTTAACATATACCTTCCTACAGACTGTTAGTTTTCTGCACCTGCAGTCAAAGTTTATTCAGGTAATTAGTTTACCAGGTTCTTAGTTAAAAGATTAATAGGCTGTTGGTTCACCACCAATCAAATATTTAATCTTAAGTTTCTTGAAATTCTAAAGAATTACAGAATTTAATAAATTGTTGCAAGATATAAATAATATAATTAAAGAATCAAAAAGGTGTTGCTGATAAAGTAAAATAAAATAAATACTCTAACAAAGAGAGATAGTGTTAAGTTAGTTAAAGGACACATTGTAGCAGGGTTGATAGGTTTAAACCAAATGGTTTAAACTAATGATTTAAACCATTTGAAAAAGTAGATATTTAATTCAAATAAATATCTTAATACTTTTTAAACAACAAATAATTTAATACTTTCTAAGCAACAAATAATTTAATGCTTATTAAACAACTTTAAGTTTACAGCAGGAAAATAAAGCAGGGTTATGTTTACAAATAGAATTAAATCTTTCATGTAAATACCAAATGTGAATGCACCTATATATATCAAAAAAAAAAATGCTGCTGAAAATGAATTTCTTATGTATATTAAATATTAATTTCTTATGTCAACAGATCAATATAATATATATATATATATATATATATATATATATATATATATATATATATATATATATATATATATATATATATATATATATATGTATATACAGGCTTCAGCAGGAATAGCGGGCTTTAGTCTGTGCCTACCTCCACACCCGTGCAAATCAGTTTACACCGGCAAAATAAAGCTCGTGCAAAATATAAATTTTTGGTAAAAATAAAGTTGAATATTTCTATTTTTATTTAGTTATTCTTTTAAAAACTTCTCAGATGATTGTAAAACTGTTAGTTAAAAAACAAAACTATTTCATTCAGGATATGCTAAAAAAAATTATGAAAAAAATAATTTTTGAATATTCTGATGTAAAAATAAAAAATAAAAATTGCAAGTTATTTCAAACAGCTATAACTGTTCCATATTATTCTGTGTTATGTTAAAAGATAAATGGTTAGTATGTTAAAAAGCAGGCAAAATATGCATGTGTTGCAAAAGAATTTAACATAATAGTCTGGGTTTTCAGTATTCTTTGGAAATATTTAAACTTATGCAATAAGAACTGTTAGATAATAAAGACAATTTCTTTTTTGTATAATCACACATTCTGCTTAATTGATTGATAAACTAGTTTGTCATACTTTAAGTTGTTTAAAATAGTGCATATTTCCCTGTATACTTTTGCATTAAATCCCTGGTTTTTTTTGAAAAAGGCGACAGTTTATTTAATATGCTAATATTGTGAAAGTGATACGAGTGAAAGTGAAGAAACTGCGTTTGATTTCAAAATTTAAGATATTTTGGGCTAATATATTTAAAATAAATATTTATAAATATTTTATAACTATATATATTCTTTTTGTATGATAAAAATAATGCTATATGATTTCTTCATTATTTTTTTTCGGCGCTATATTTAATACATTTAAATATATTTTACCACAATAAACCTGATCAGCTTTA